CCCCCCCTCCCCCAAATCTCTCGTTTTGCCCATTATCTTTACTCTTTAATGATTGGTTCTTATTTCCGCAAGGTTTGCTGCAACATCCAACCTCTAAACTATGACATTTAACCATAACACCATAGGAGAACCTCTGGTCAAGATGGCGAGGCAAGGGGTTGGCATCAGACAGGGCAACACAGAGAGCAATGTTACAGAGATTCAACGTTAACAGAGCTAGAGGTCGACCACAGAGAATATGGAGCGCAAAAATATCATAGACACTGAAATACTTTATAGGAAGCGAACAGAAGGGTCTGTTCCAGAGATCACCACTTGTCCTGACACCGCAAGGCATTCAAAGAGTAGAGAGAAAGAGAAGAAAGAAGAAGAACTACAACACTGCAACATCCAACCTCAAAATTATGACCTTCAACCATAACACTGCAATATCGAACCTCAAAACTATGACATTCAACCACAACACTGCAACATCCAACCTCAAAATTATGACCTTTAAACACAAAACTGCAACATCCAGTCTCAAAACCATGACACTTAACCACAACACTGCTACACCCAACCTCAAAACTATGACAATCAACCACAACACCGCAACACCCAACCTCAAAACTATGACATTCAACCACAACACTGCAACACCCAACCTCAAAACTATGACATTTAACCACAACACCACAACACCCAACCTCAAAACTATGACATTCAACCACAACACTGCAACACCCAACCTCAAAACTATGACATTCAACCACAACACTGCAACACCCAACCTCAAAACTATGACATTCAACCACAACACTGCAACACTCGACCTCAAAATTATGACATTTAACCACAACATTGCAATACTCGGCCGGAAAATCACAATATTCAACCTAAAAAACTACTATATTAAAACTGCAACCAGTAGGCTCAAAACCCGTCCCTGTGTGGATTCTGGGGTTTTACTGGGGGCAGGTGGATACTCACTGCTCCCTAATAAGCATATAGTAACAAGTGACTAATTAGTGGCACTATTAACAACAGAGATCACTCTCCACCTCAAGCTGGCAGCTCTGTATTGTTTTCAGTAAATATTTGCTCACTGTCCAAACCGCTTGAATGACTAAATATGGATGATCCTTTGAAGTCAGAGCACATCTGCCTGAGGGGGAAGGAACCAACAGTCTGCAAACGAATAAGCCAGATCTGTCAAATGGATGTGCACATAACTGAAGTTCTGGACCAAGACCGAAGTCCAGAAATGGATAAACAACAGGAACTTTCTGCCAGAGTTTACAGCCGGTCAACACTAAGAAGAATAAGAAGAAGAAGTTTTGAAACTAAAACATTCAAAGTTAAAAATACATTCATCCTCAAAACTGTAACTTGTGACCATCAAATCTACATTTAATATCAAAACTGCCAATTGCAAACTAAAATTTGCAATATCCAACACAAATACTGCAACAATGAACTTCAATATTACAACATGAAATCTCAAAACTGCAATACAAGAGAACTGAGTTGTTCCATCGAGGTACCACATCTGTCTTTGACTCAAGCAGACAGGATGTGAATCACGCTGTGGATGTTCAAAAACATGAGGAACATGAGGATGTCATTACTTTTTCCTTGATTCCAGGATAGTGTACCGGACACCTAGCTTCCTTGACTAAGGGTGAAAGTGTAGGAGGCTTCATTTGTAGGTTACAGACAACAACATCGCCTGACATTTGTAGGTTACAGACAACAACATCGCCTGACATTTGTAGGTTACAGACAACAACATCGCCTGACATTTGTAGGTTACAGACAACAGCATCGCCTGACATTTGTAGGTTACAGACAACAACATCGCCTGACATTTGTAGGTTACAGACAACAGCATCGCCTGACATTTGTAGGTTACAGACAACAACATCGCCTGACATTTGTAGGTTACAGACAAAAACATTGCCTGACATTTGTAGGTTACAGACAACAACATCGCCTGACATTTGTAGGTTACAGAAAACAACATCGCCTGACATTTGTAGGTTACAGACAACAACATCACCTGACATTTGTAGGTTACAGACAACAACATCACCTGACATTTGTAGGTTACAGACAACAACATCGCCTGACATTTGTAGGTTACAGACAACAACATCGCCTGACATTTGTAGGTTACAGACAAAAACATTGCCTGACATTTGTAGGTTACAGACAAAAACATTGCCTGACATTTGTAGGTTACAGACAAAAACATTGCCTGACATTTGTAGGTTACAGACAAAAACATTGCCTGACATTTGTAGGTTACAGACAACAACATCGCCTGACATTTGTAGGTTACAGACAACAACATCGCCTGACATTTGTAGGTTACAGACAACAACATCGCCTGACATTTGGGAATCAAACATAGATAGACCAAACAGGGAGAATATCAAACACCTACCTATAGAAAACAAAATGTGGCGCTTCTTTGAATTGTTCCCCAAAATGGCGGCTGTAATATGATGGCGTTCAAAAAGGAGCTAAATTGGCCAATTTCTGGCCATAAAATATCCAAAAATATCCGAATGCGGGGTCAGTTCTATTAAAAATATATGTGCCGGCTCCGAATAACGAAACAAAAGCTCTGACAGGGTCTAGGCGATACGTTGCTTGCCGACCTGCTTCTGCGAGTGTGCCTCACCGCCGAGCGTATCCCCCGCGCCGCTACGCGCGGCGCGGATGGGGGCTAAACTAGATGGCTGGGACTCACGAGTAGCAGCTACCGCATCTCCTGCAACTTCCTCCAATTACTGTACTCGTGAGTCCCAGGCACCTAGATACGCTCGGCGATGAGTTTAATCGCGTTTGGCGCATGCCGACAAGTCTGACATCTACCGCTGCTAAATCCTCCAATCGGAAGAACACAGTATTGCTAATCGGCTTTCATCGTCTGTAATGTCTCGAAATTGGTCAACAGTCGCTAATATCGTCTGCTAGTATCGTCGTCTGCAGAAACGCTCGAAATTTTTGTCAACGGTCGGTATTTATCGTCTGCTACTAGTACCGTGTGCAAATGTTGATATTGGTTGTCAAGTAATCCTAGTTTTGCCGCGATTTGTTCGTTATTTTAGATATACGCGAACACCGTCGTTCGGATATTTTTGGATATTTTATAGCCAGAATGTGGCATGCCGCCATTTTGGGGAATAAATCAAAGAAGCGCCCAAAATGTTTGTCAAATACAGTTCTGGAATAGCTGGTTGGGGGGGGGGGAAGTGGAATAGGTGTATCCTCTAACAAAGGAGAAGTAAGGCATTCACTTCCCTCAGGTAGCCCATGGGACACCCTTGGACAAGGCAGAGTACCTGTTAACCCCCCCACGCCCCATCCCCTATCAGGGTAACTTGAAACATGGAAGCAGGAGGTGGACGGAGCTGCAGAGCGACTGACATGATAGTTGCTGGACATGTTCTCAAGTTCTCTGCTGGTAGGATCATACTATAGAGACAATGGCTACAGTCACCTGACCAGTATGGTCATTGCCAAGAGGGAAAGCAATGGCACACTACTTTTTTCAAGATGCCAAGAATAGTCAATATTTCACAACTTACAAATGCTGGCAAGACTGATGGAATAAGAGCCAGAGGAAGGCAGAGAGACAAATACTCGGATGGTCTGGCCACATGGATGTGGCGAGATTAAAAACACTGAACTGATTCGTGATTCTTGTGATCAGGTGAGATGGTGAAACATGTCAGCCTACCCTTACTGACAAGGCACATGATAATGATAATAACTGCATCAGGCATTTACCTGCTAAATTATACTGATACAGGTCAATCGGCACTTCAAAGGTAGGATGTGGTCAGTGTCATGCTAGCTGCCTTCACTTCGAAGGAATTTTCTTAAATCCCATTTCAGACCGGATTGACTGAAGACTCCTAGGAAATTTGTCAAAATCTACCTGAGTGTGATTCGAATCCAGGACTCCCAGTGTGGGTTCTGAGGCCCCATTTTCAGCAGGAAACAAGAACAGACCCTCTGCCCATTCACAAGTACGTTGTAAAAGACAACTAACCAACTCTTGAGGTCCTATAAGATCATATCTGATGACTGGTAGAGGCAATACTGATGACAATGTCATAGGTATACATCTGCAGGTTCTGAATACGCTGCATGCTGTCGGGGACACCGAGTTGAATTGAGTCAAGAAATGACATCATAGCAGTCAGAACATTCCCTTGCAAGCTCCGTCCTCATCTTCAGCAGCCAGCGCAGAGTTCCAATACTGATGATAGCGGTCACAATCTGGTTACATGTCCGTCTTGCCTTTCCTCTGAGTGCAATGAGCCGGTCAGACCCTCTGGTTACACCCAGGTGCCTCATTCTCTCCAGGCCATAATAATCTTCTTTTTCTACTGATTCATCTGCCTTAGACATGAGACACCATCAGTCTGCACATAACAAACCAGATCTGGAAAAGGGGTGTGTTCAGAGGATCAACCAGTACCTTCTGCTGGAGTTCACAGAGAAAGAAGAATCTCTTCTGGTTTCCCACATCCCATTTTTTTTTTATACCTAGAAACCATTAGTTGTTAACCCTTAGGCTCGGTACTATGGATATTGCAACCCTTCAGCCCTGATTCCATGATAGATACCGTAAATCTGGGAGAAATGTGGCTTTTCTGCCTACCCCCGGGCTTGAAACCCGACCACAAGGAGTTCGTCACCCAGTCGCCACACAGTCAGGTTTAACCAACTGAGCTAGCCAGCCGGGCATTCCATACCCATTGTTAAAGAACACTTCCTGTGTGGATTCAAAAAGTACATCTGCTTGAGAGGCAAGGAACAAACGGTCTGCATAAAAATAAACCAGATCTTTAAAATGAATGTGCATGAAAACTCAAGTTCTGGAAATTGATGAACAACCAGAATTTTCCGCCCGAGCTTACAGCTGGTGAACGCTAAGAAGAAAGAAGATCTGACAACACACACAGAATAACTAGACGACACAGAAAAGACTGAATACTCACGATTGTGTCTGAAGAAATTAAACAACTCCGCCACCAGCTCTTTAGTGCTGATATTGAAAGAATCAAGCCTCTCCACTAGGGCTACTTCAGCTGATCCTGGAGGCTTCTGCAGTAGCAGTTTGAGAACCTTCTGTGTAGCCATGTGGAGGTTGCTGGCAGAGTTCATACCTGAACAATATTTGTTTCTGCATCTGAGCCCTGCAGACAGAAGAGGAATTAGAAAGCAGAATGCTTCCAGTTCCTGGGACAGCTACAATAACCAAACCAGTGGTTTTCAAAGAGGTGTGAGATCCTAAGAATTACCATAAATATCAGAAAGTCAGTCTTCATTTTCTAACCATGTCAAGAGAAGAGGGAAATGAACATGTTAGGACCACTGGAAAGAACTGTGGAGAGAGAGAGACAGAGGAAGACATGAGAAGAGTCTTAAATAAAAATATAATAAAGATCCCTTTTCACGCCTTTCGGCGCATCAGGCATATGGGCAGAGCGTCCCATATTTTTACAGACCATCAGCACTCTGTGGGTAATGTGGTCAGCATTACGCCGGCTGTCTTTACTTTCCCAGGACAGCCCATCCTGGTACCCATTTTAGGCTGGGTCGACCTGCGACGTCCCATACCACGACAAAAATCCACACAGCCTGCAGTGGGTTTCGATCGCGGTATGCTGGATCACGAGTCGGGCTCGCAACGCCTTAGCCACGGACTGAGAAGAGTCTTGACCGTCTTTTACCATGGGATGATGGAGGCGTGTCAGCACATAAACTGATTTAAGCTGTTGTAGATCGCAGGTTGTGGAGAGGCATTATCACCCACTCCAGTCGGCAAGGCACTTGATATGATGATGATGATGAGATAGAAGAAGTTCATATCAATGTGCATCTTATTAACATCTCATTCCAGGGCATGCAGGTGTAAAAGGAAATAAACAAGCAGATTTTCCTGCAGTTAAGGCTAATATGGGTGAAGGATTAAAAAAATAAGGGGGTGCGGGAGGCAAGCAATGAACCAGTCTAATCTACAGAATGTTCTAAGAGAATTAAGATATCTGTGTGAATCAAGTGATAAGAGAGTCAACAGCAGCGCAAACATTTACTATATTCCAGGTTGTGCTCTCATTATCTATCTGTATACCCGGGGGCTGCGTTAGCGCAATCGATAAGAGGCTCGCTTTCAAATCCAGCTGCGACTCGCTGCAGCCACCGGGCGGTTCCCGGGGTTCACCCAGCCTTTAGGAAATGGGTACCAGAGTTGACACTCTGGGGTAAATTGAGGAACGTCGCTGTAGCTACAGAGTTGCGTGCGGAAAGCGACACAGGCGGACAATTTCTTATCAGCAGTCCGTACTGGTGGCAGAGCACTGACGGTTTATAACCGTGTGCAATGACACTGGTCCCATCTCCTGACTTTACCTTTACCTGTATACCCTAAACCTCTAGTGTACTATGATTCCACTGGCCCAGGTCAAGAACCACATACTTCACCCCATTCTTCACCAGCAGACATTGCCCATGCCTTCCCTGTCTGGTATTATTTATTTAACTAATGTATCCAGGACACTCATATCTATCAGTGTTAAATTCCTGCAACATGATGACATCAAAATCATAAATCAGCCTCTCCGGTACAGGTCCTCTCTGCTTGGCACTATGACAATTCCAGTAACCCACTCTTATATGCTTTAAATCCACAAGTATATGAATATATCTATAGCTTGAAATAAAACATTATCATAAGATCATGTGGTAAAACAGTAAAAAAAAAACTTCTTTCAGTAGTCTGGGGGAACCCAAGAATACAAGGTCCGACAATTAAGTAGTGAGACTAATACCATACAAATGTTAAAAAATCAACAGTTGAAGATATAGCTTGTATTTGATTCAAAGTAAGCCCCTTGTGCATTGATACAGTCAGTAGCACGATCTAACAAACAGTGGAACGACCTCTGTAGTTCTTCTGTTGGTATGGCCCTTGAAGCCGATGTTACTGCCCTTTGGATGCCATCAGTTTCATCAAAGAAGTGTCCTTTCAATGGTAATTTTAATTTTGGGAATAGAAAATAATCACATGGAGACTAATCTGGGGAATAGGGTGGAAGGTTGAGAACACTCACTTGTTTTGGGGAAAAAAATTCCTGTTTTGATGATGTCTCGTGTGTACTCAACCCGCTGATGTTTTTGGTCATCAGACAACGAATGCGGTACAAACCTGCAAGCATTTTTTTCTGGCTAAAATCTTGCACTAACATTTTACAAAGGATCTCTCTATTTACACAAGATTCATCTGCCATCATCCTGACAGCAAAACAACAATCTTCTTGTATCCGTTCTGTGACGTTTGCATTAAGTTCATCATTACAATTAGAAATTGGGCGTCCAGGTCTAGCTGCATTAGTAATCATCTCTACACCATTTTTGAATCATGAATACCACCTGAAAATCTGTGCAGTAGACAAACAATTATCCTCATAAACTTGTGGTATCAATTGAACTGTTGCAACAGTACTTTTTCCGAGTTTTAAACAGAGTTTAATGTTAGCTTTTTGCTCCATGTTGATTTGGTAACGATGCACATCTAACTAGGTCAATAAAATGGCCGCTTGTTTGTCGTCTGCTTATCAGGCGGCAATGAAAAATTGCCACATCATAGATGAAGGATGCCTTTTTACATTCCATACTGTGCTTCATAGATGGCACATTTGTCTTGGCTGTAATAAAATCAGTCTCATTACTTAATTGTCAGACCTTGTAGGAATCAAAATTACACTCCGAAGATTGAGCAACATAATAACAAACACATTACAAAACTCACTCACCCTTGTTTGCACCTACAAGATGACAATCAGAGTTGTCTGTGCATGATATATTCCCAAGTTCAAGGTTATCCAGAGTGGCCAGCTTCACCAATGCCCCTCTGACCAATACAAAGTCGCTCAAGCTCAGTTTGGTAAACCGCAAGCTTCCGAGGATGGTACGGTCTAAGTATAGTAGCAGTTTTGACACTTGTAGCGCCATCTGAATTCATATAAATAATCAGAAAACATGAAGCTGAGTTGAGCTGCACTCCTGATCAGGGGTGTATTTAGGATGCATGATGCCCCTATGCAGTCATTTATTTTACTCTTGGCAAAACTTCAGTATCCTATTCATTTACAGACCACCAGAAATATGTCGGAAACTCCACTGAGTCTGGAGTTCCCTCCATGTTTGTCCCAGGGCATGCAGGTATTGTTGGCAAGATAAGAGCCGACAGACTGGCTGGTTCTGCTATAGCTGCAGATGGCCAGCCTATGGATTATGCCGAAATTATTAATGCCCTTAGAGAGATATGGCAATCTAAGCATTTTGGGAGTAGGATGTTCACATCACTGCTAAGAATGCAAGAACAGAGAAAAGATTGGCCCAGGGAAACATGAGAGGCACAATGTCACAATTAACTGTGTGATTCTTATGTATATGTTGAAGGGGGAGCCTGAGCACTTATGGACATGTCTGGTGTGCTGTGAAGATAACCCAACTCATAACTCATGGGGCGCAATAATTTACTTCAGTACCGAAAAACTGACTCCATAACAGATTTTTAAAAATGTGCAAACTGGGGCCCTAATGGAACAATGATGTGTAAATACACGAAGAAACTGTCATAATGATAAAAGCAATAAAGATATTGACAATTTTGTAACTACTAGTTATATATCAAGCAAATAGTAATGTTGTCTCTCTTAATGGTATCCCACTCCAAGAGTCATACACCTATTTGGGCAGTAATGTAGACAAAAATGGGGAAGGGGGGGGGGGGGAGAGACTGACAGACATTTTAAAATACGAATACAAAAAGCAAGAGGAGATTGCATAGCACTAGGGAATTTGTAGAGGTCAAAAGAAATACTAAACTTAAAATGTTTAATTTTAATGTCACATAGCACTATTATATGAAGCCGAATCATGGAGAACAACTAAGGCAGTCAATAATAACTACACACAATCGTTAACTGGTGCCTGTGCAGCACAGTGGGAATTAAATGTTTTTTTTTTTTAAAATAGAATCAACAGTGTTGAGCTGCGGGAGAATATTAAAACAAGTTCCAGTAGACGAAGAGCTGAGGAAAAGACGCTGGCATTGGATAGGACACGCTGAGAAAACCTGAGAACAATATAACTAGAATGTCTTTGCACTGGAACCCACAGGGGCATAGAAATAAAGCAAGACCATGAAACACATGGAGAAGGGAGCAAGAGAGTGAAGTTAAAAAGATGGGGAGGACATGGGGAGAGCTGCATGCGACGGAAAAGGATTAAATTAGCTGGTTGAGGGCCTATGCTCTATAGGGGATTAGAAAAGTAGAAGAAGAAGAAGCTATATTTTGCACACATTAAATGCATAAGGCAGCTGCCAGAGTGCCAACACCAAAAGTCCATCACTAGAACTGCAGAGCTTTCTTCAGAGTTGGAGTGCATTTGCCTGAGTGGCAAGGAAAAACCAACTGCACACAAATAAGCCAGTAAAACAGATGTACATGAAAAACTCAGGCCCTGGTACAAAGCCAAAGTCCAAATAGATGAACAACCAGGACTTTCCACCAGTGCTTACAGGTGGTGAGCAAAGAAGAAGAAGAAGAATTGCAGTTCACTGTGATTGAAAGAATAAGTCACGAGGAACCATCAGTACCCCATATTTTGTTGCATAAAACACTGCTAGTCCAATCACATCCGGCCACTTTCCATTTTCTGACTATGCAATTAATAACTTATCAAGAAAAGATATAAAACCGAAGGAAACATATATTAGCAAAGCTTCACAATATAACAAATACAAACAAAATGTGAACGTTGCAGCTATGGAGCCTTTATCAGCACGTACACAAATCAAACAATACCACACAAATACACAAAATCACTAAGCTAGTATCGAAGCAGCTAGACCGATGTCTTCTCTCAGTCTTTTCAGCAGACTGCCGACATGGGGGCCAGGGGAAATGGGCCAGGAGAATAAATACCCCCTGTGGAGTGACAGGGGCCATAACTGGGGGATTTGAGATGCAACTGGGTGGGCAGTTCAATCCCCTAGGAGTTAAATGAAACTGTGGTGGCAGTTCAGTCCTTTATGTGTTAAAGTTCCCAAAGTGTAAATAAAATGATTTTGTTCATAACTCAAGCATTTTTGGCACTGATGTTAAGAATCCCAAATTAAACTCTAAAGTTAACAACAGAGAGCCTCGTCACTTGCATATATAATGTTAGTGGAGCTAGAAGTCACCTGCACAGCAGATGGATAGACAGAAAATCCGACAATGAACACCAGCATCCACAGAGCTCACACTAAGGCTGGTACTAGATGCCTCTTGAAAACCTGACACCGAAAGGCAGAACAGGGTCTAGAGCACAGCTACTCAACTAAGTTTACTCAGGAGACAAAATTCTGAAAATGGGGACATCACGGACAAGAGGCCCCCAAGCCCTAGCACAGGAAGATGGTTGATACCATACAGCTAGCAATGAATGGGGGCAGTGACTCAGCATCACTCACCAGAATTATAGACAAAATGAGGCTCACACCAGGCACATCAGAGGACTTGTTAATCAACACAGAACTGGTGCTATTAGCCACCGGACGCTAGGGCTCACACTGAGGGGAAGATCTGAGCACTTATGGACATGTCCGGAGTGCAATGATGATATCCCCTACAACTAACTAACAAACTAGCTAACTAGATAACTGGCATTCGTGGGCCACATGCTAGCCAGCAGGCCATCAGATGAACCACCCAGGTCTAGAGAAAAAAAGAAGAAGGGTAAAAAAATTAATGAATAACATGCTAAGTAAATACTTACAGACACTCTCTGGGACCAAGAGGCCATTTCTAAGACTGCGTCAGTCAGAGTGATCCCAATCTCTGTTACAAGGATTATTCCCTTCTCCCTCAATTTGTCTGACACTTGATTGCCTCGTAGGCAGTACCCCTTTATGTGGATGATTCCTGGATGCCTCAGGGTGGTGAGTAACAACACTTCTTTCAGCAACCTGGGCAAAATCACAAGTATACAAATATGTTATGTTAGTTGCGTATCCTTTACAGGACGTTGCAGAACCAACCCCAGCATTGGCTCTTGTGGTTTTTCTAGGCAAATTTAAGTACGAGGCTTCTCGATACCACTATCAAAACCAACGCAAGGCGCAAGGCCCACAGCTGGGATTGAGTCCGGCACCCAGGCATTACGAAGAACGTGCGCAACGTCTTAGCCACAGATGCCGACATGCGAATATAGCTTAGAACAAAAAAGGTACAGTAAGATCATGTGGTGCAACTTTAAGAAAACTTCCTTCAGCAACCTGAGCAAAACCACAGGTATACGAATATAGCTACAGCTTGAAACAAAAAGATATTGTAAGATCATGTGGCAAAACAATAAGAAAACTTCTTTAAGCAGCCTGGGGAAAACTCAAGAATACGAATAAGGATTGAAACAGAAAGCTATCGTAAGATTATGTGGTGAAACAACAGTGCAAACATAGCACTCAGCTAAAAGGAATTTAATGAACAATGACAAGAAAGGTAGAAGGAGAAAACACATAGAAAACAACCAAAGGTTTTGGCCTGATCCTTTATAGATGAACTGAGTGCTTGGTGCGAAACTGTGAACTAAGAATTTCATGAGGAATATTTTTGTTGTTGTGCCCGTGGGGTGTTATTAACTGAACTAAAAGGATGTGTGACCGATTATGTTGAGAATGATATGTACTTCTGGTGTGATGCAGGCTTATATGACTCACCATATGCGCCAACAGTAAGCTGCAATTCTGATGAGGGTCAGTTAGTGTTGGCACATCTGACAGATGTCTTATGAATTTTTACTTTGCATGTGCATGTTTTAAGATTTTGTTGGAACTGATATATTTTTCACTAGTTTTCAAATGGGACAGTGAAGAACATTTTGTGTGCAGGAATGGAGAGTTGAGTTGATTCAAGAACCGACATCACAGCACTTAGGGCATTCCCATAAGCACTCCGTCCCTATCTTCAGCAGCCAGCGAAGAGTTCCGATACTAATGTGCCAGTAGGAAAGGAGAACTTTTGGGGTTACCTCCCTGAAGTGATGCTGGAGCCTAGGCTAGCGATTTTATTAAGTAAAGTGACCTCCAGATATCAGTCCACACACATGAAGGTGATGTGAATTCATGTCAATAAAAACACTGTATCCTACAAAACATGTAAAAAATTAAGTGAATTTCCAAAAGAAAAAAACTAGTTTAATAGTCAACCTGGCTTTAAAAAAGAATGAATATGCTGCAAATCTGGAACTTGTAGATGTTCGTCGTTTTGTAGACTTCAGCTACACCATTTATCTTTCTTTTTCTTGGTCTTGCTCTCGCCTTCCTCCCAGATGTTCTACTGGCAGGAAGTTTGTAGTATACACATAATTTTCCCGTGTGGGTTCTGGGGCCCTGTTATAGGGAAAACAAGAATAGGCCCACTGCCTGCTCAAATGCCTGTCGTAAGAGTTGACTAATTGGGAGCTTGCTTCAAAGTCAGAGTGCATCTGTCTGAGAGGCATGGAACCAACAGTCTATCTACAAATTAGTCAGACCTGTCAAACGGATGCACACGCAACACTCAGGTTCTGGAACAGGACTGCAGTCCAGAAGTGGACGAACAACCAGAACTTTTGAGTTTGTGACCGCGAAGAAGATTTCCTGATTTCACAACTGACCCACTGACCCAATCAGTTATGACCTGCAGTTAAGAGGGAAGGGTTGGGGGAGTTGGAATGTGTCTATTCTCTATTGCCCCCCCCCCCCTCCCCACTCAAATGGGACCATGGAACCCACGTAGGAAAGTATTACTAATATGGTATATCTAATACCATTAATTGGACTCGGCGGATTGTGCTGATGACACCTCTTATTGGTTCAACTGACAAGATGGAGATTAACAGCAGGCTCTGTGGAGAGCTTCGAGCAAGGCAAGGCACAAGAAGCCTTGATCATCCACTGCACCCAAGTCCATTTCCAATCGTCTCGACATTGTCCTGCCATTGGATCAAGATAAACATAGGCGAGATAGGGAGGTCAACGAATTGCGCAACTCTTCCTCATTTAAATCCAATTTCTTGCGCAAGTCACTTTCATCCAGTAGTTTGGCGTAAATCCCTCAGGCATGGTGCTTCAACCTGCCAGGCAGCAAAGGTTGCACAGGCAGAGAAACGGCGGCAGACTAGAAAGAATCGTACTGCTAATCCCACCCTTACTGAGGCTTCCATCTGTTGTCTGCACTGCTCAAGAAATTTCCAGGCTCATATCCGACTAAAAAGCCAGCTTCGTACTCATAATCATTGATCATTACTACTTTGGATGAAAGTGGTCTTCATCACCTAAGGACTGGGCACAACAGATTTCGTCAACATATGTTCAAATTTTTCGGTGTTGGAAATACGGAGACGTGTCCCTGCAGCGTAGCACCCGAAAATGCTGCGCATGTGCTCCAATGCTGTCAACTGTATGCTGACAACAGAGACGCAATCTGGCCTGTTCCAACCACACTGAAGACAAAACTGTATGGTACACGAGAGGATATGGATTGCACGATAGCTTTCATAAAGGCTACCGGCCTCCTGATATAAGTTTTCTGACAGAAGGATCGAAGAAGAAGAAGATCACTCATGATGGACAAACAACAACATTACAAAACCATTAAAAAAAAACAAGATGAAACTGACAGTACCTGTAGTCATCCATTGTAGCACATTTATCAGCATTGTTCACTTGTGCTGCACAGGCTGTGCTGTTTTCTCTAACCAAACTTCTGACAGCATATCTATGTTTGTGTACACCACTTGTCTGCTCCGTCATCTCATGAACATATTCCACCATCTTGGACCGAGACTTCTCTGCATAACCATCCCTGCTTAAACTGTCAATCTGCTTGCAACTCATCCTACTTTCTAAGTTACATTCTATAAGAAGATATTTCAACCCAAAAGCCATGTCATCCGACTCCGCTACATTTTCCCAATTTGTCGGATGCAGGTCCGCAAAGAAATTTAACAATATATTTTTATGAGCGCTTTTTATGAAAATGCTTTCTTTGAACTTTTTAGACTTCGTCGGAATTAAATCAGCAAACATCAGATCATTCTTAAAATCTTGTAAGGTTGTAGCACTATAAGAAATTGGCCGTTTTGGATGTAGTTTATGTGATTTTTTATCTTCATTAGACGACAGTGAACGGCGATGAGGACGCATGAAAACTTGTGAAGTGAAAGCCCGATACACAAGTGCTACGCTGAGAATCAATATTAAAGTGCTACAGATTATCACTAAGTTCTTTAAACGACGGTTCAGCGTGCTGGAGCGAGTCATAGTAAGTGAAAGTTTCGATGTTTTCATAACAGCTTCCGCAGGTGATTGGCCATAAAACTGGAAGAAAGAAAGATTAAATTCAAGATTAAGTTGTAAATAATGAAAACTCACTCAATAGGTAACAATTTGTAAGTAATAAAAATCATACATTAGGTTGTAAATAATGAATACTCAGTAGTTAAAAATGTGTAATTTACAAAAAATAAAATGTTGTCTCATGAAAATATTCTCATGGTTCTCTCTAGCTTTTCCTCCTCCCCCCTTTTCTTCCCTTTCGTTTCCTACTTCTATTCCTCTCCTTCTTCCCATCCTCTTAAAATTCCTTTTCTCTGAATACTCCTTCATTTCTTCATTTTCATGCACCTTTTTTTCCCTTTCCTCCTTTTTATTTTTTTGCCATTTCTTCTTCTTTAGCAGTCAGGAGAACAGCAGTGGTTTGCTTATAAACTATATTCAAAACAATGTTTTCCCACTGTCTTCTTCTTCTTATGCGATTTGCCTTTAAAGGGCAGTTTGACATGTTATGTTGTAGTGTACAGCTAGGCTGCGATATCTGCGCCTTTCGGCCTAACGCATCTAATTTTAGCTAATTTTTACAACATGCCTGTTACAGACCGATTCTTTATTTTCTCCAAATGAGGCTTCGGAATCCACACGGGGAAGCTTCCCGTAGTAAATTTAAATAATACAAATACAAACAATACACAATGCACAATTTATTGCTTGGAATGTTTTGCTGAATCTAATCAGGTGCGTTACTACAGAGTTAAATCAACATATAATGAAGCACAGTCTTATTTTCTCTTGCCAGTTATCCAGCCCTATGTGCTTTCATAATACCTCGAAGTGGCTGCTGCATCACAGTTCTGAGCACGCATGGAGATACCCAATGTGCGAAGACGTCAATTGTGATAATGTAACATAACATAGCATCATTATTATTCTCATCATCAGATGCCTTGCCGACTGGCGTGGGCGATCATGCCTCTCCACAATCTGCGATCTCCTGCAGCATGTATCAGTTCGTGTGCTGACACAACTCCATGCCATGCTACATGACTGTCAAGCATCTTCTCTCATTATCTTTCTCTATCCCTCCTTCCACAGATCTTTCCATTGGTCACAACATGTTCTATTTTCCCTCTTCTCATAACATGGCCGAAAAATGTTGACTGTCTCCTTCTGTGATAAGTTGTCTCTAGGCTCCCACCTCTTTCAAAACGTCTTGGTTGCTCTTTTTGGCTGTCCAAGGTATTCGAAGCATTCTCCTGTAAAACCACATCTCTGAGGCCTCAAGAAATTGTTTGGCCTGACTACCAATTGTCCATGATTCACAGCCATATGTTAAAACTGGATGTATGTAGCAAGCAAGAATTCTTTTTCCTGTAGCAAGCAAGAATTCTTTTTCCAACTCTCAATGACAAAGATATATTGCACAAAATGTTCTTCATAGCATAGCCAACGCATCTTCAGTGTTTGTATCCACTTTCATGGTCATCATCTGCCTCTGCCCCATTTTCTGCAAACTGAACCCTCTATCAACATCCTTTCCAGGCTACCGTGACATTCAAAATAGTGAAAATAGCTTAGCTTTTAGGACCAAAAAAAGTCATGTTTTGAAACAAATCCAACCCCCCCCCCCCTCCCTTCCCCACACAACCAAAGATTAGTTAAAACACACATAAGAAAGAAAACATACAGGGTACTTACTAATTAGTTTACATAATAACACAACATAACATAACTCTTGACCCGTGGAAGTGTGTCGATGGAAGCACTAGCACATAAAATCCACCATCTTTCTCTGTCTTCCGCTTGATGAATAAGTGAATGATAACTCAGTCCTGTCTATTTCCTGTCAATATTGTCATTCCAGATTCTTCTTTGCACTCTTCTTCTTGGACTAACCCTCAATGTCTCTTATTTAGTTTAGTAATCAAGGAAACAGTTGCAGGTTAAACCCAACCAATTCCAGCTTTACTGGTAACGGGTAGTTAGCATACTTTGGATTTTTTCTAAAGGCCATGCCGGCAGAGTGGGTAATGAACAAGCAGACAGATTGGCTGGATCTGCACCACTGGGTGGTGAATTTATACATGACAAGATTATTATGGCCTGGAGAGAATGAGGCACCTGAGTGTAACCAGAGGGTCTGGCCAGCTCACTACACTCAGAGGAAAGGCAAGACGGACATGTAACCAGATTGTGACCGGTACCAACAGTACTAAAACTCTGCGCTGGCTGTGAAGATTAAGACAGAGCACACATGGGAATGCCCCAAGTGCTGTGATGTCAATTCTTGACTCAACTCAACAACCGAACCAATTCCGTGATAATCCATCTGTTACATCACCATACCAGCTACGGGATCGGATTTAAACTTAATGAGGCTTCAACCATGGCCAGCTGGAGCTGACAGGCCATGCGGCTGACATCACCAGGTCGGGCTAACGATGGGTTTAAGCAGGGGTTCTCACCCTGGGGTGTCGTGAGCGTAGGCCAGGGGTGCCGCAGCAATAATCAAGAAAAGTCGGCTAAAAATTGTGAAATTATTTAAGAACGCATGTAGATACTTCAAAGTTAAAATTTAAGTTGTCTTCCCTCGCCACTGTCGAAAATAGTTTATTTCTTGTTTGAGAACCGCTGCGTTAACACATCGTTAGCCCGACCCGGTGACGTCAGCAGCCCGGCCCATCAGCTGGAAGTTGTCGTCCCTCAACCTATATAAATCCCTGACAGCTCTATTGTTTTAAATTACAATAGCTTTCTCTTGTGGATTCCTGGACCCCATTTTGAGATAAACAAGAATAGAGCCACTGGATCCCCAACAAGCATGTCGACCAACTGGGGGCTACCTTTGAAGTTGGAAGGCATCTGTCTGAGAGGCAAGGAACCAACAGTCTCATACAAGTAAGCCAGACCTGTAAAACGGATGTGCATGCAACACTCAGGTTCTGGAACAAGACTTATATCCAGAGGTGGACAAACATCTAGAACTTTCGGCAGGAGTTTACAACCGATGAACGCAAAGAAGAAGAAGCGAATTTCAGGAAACTTTCAACAACAAACATTTTTAAATACATGGATGATGGAAATTTGCTGTGGTTCAACTGTTAATGACTGAAATAATGTTTCTGCAATATCCCACAATTTGTATTATATAATAATCAGTTTAAAGGCTGTATTAAGAGAGAATTGTATTTTTTTTTTTACAAAACATACACACATACACACACACACACACACAACCACATGAATTAGTTGAGGCCCCTGCTGACTGTGAGGCCTTATGTTGCAGCTTAACTTGTGCCTTAATACAGACCTGCTCATTTCTAGTTACAACAGTGGTCAAAGTACTGCTGCAAATAGCTAGTTACAACAGTGGTCAAAGTACTGGTGCAAATATTTAGTTACAACAGTGGTCAAAGTACTGCTGCAAATATCTAGTTACAACAGTAGTCAAAGTACTGCTGCAAATATTTAGTTACAACAGTGGTCAAAGTGCTGCTGCACATATCTAGTTACAACAGTGGTCAAAGTACTGCTGCAAATATCTAGGTATAACAGTGGTCAAAGTGCTGCTGCACATATCTAGTTACAATAGTGGTCAAAGAACTGCTTCATACATCTAGGTACAACAGTGGTCAAAGTACTGCTGCAAATATTTAGCTACAACAGTGGTCAAAGTACTACTGCACAACATATCTAGTTACAACGTTGGTCAAAGTACGGTTGCATATATCTAATTACAACAGTGGTCAAAGTACTGCTGCAAATATCTAGTTACAACAGTGACAGTGGTCAAAGTAATGCTGCAAATATCTAGTTACAACAGTGGTCAAAGTACTGTTGCAAATATCTAGTTACAACAGTGCCCAAAGTAATGCTGCAAATATCTAGTTACAACAGTGCCCAAAGTACTGCTGCACAACATATCTAGTTAAAACAGTGGTAAAAGTACTGCTGCAAATATCTAGTTACAACTGTGACAGTGGTCAAAGTACTGCTGCAAATATCTAGTTACAACAGTGACAATGGTCAAAGTACTGCTGCAAATATCTAGTTACAACAGTGGTCAAAGTACTGTTGCAAATATCTAGTTACAACAGTGGTCAAAGTACTGCTGCAAATATCTAGTTACAACAATCGTCAAAGTACTGCTGCACAACATATCTAGTTACAACATTGGTCAAAGTATGGTTGCATATATCTAATTACAACAGTGGTCAAAGTACTGCTGCAAATATCTAGTTACAACAGTGACCGTGGTCAAAGTACTGCTGCAAATATCTACTTACAACAGTGAACAAAGTACTGCTGCAAACATCTAGTTACAACAGTGAACAAAGTACTGCTGCAAATATCTAGTTACAACAGTGGTACTGTTGCAAATATCTAGTTACAACAGTGTCCAAAGTACTGCTGCACAACATATCTAGTTAAAACAGTGGTAAAAGTACTGCTGCAAATATCTAGTTAAAACTGTGACAGTGGTCAAAGTTCTGCTGCACAACATATCTAGTTACAACAGTGGTCAAAGTACCGCTGCAAACATCTAGTTACAACAGTGGTCAAAGTACCACTGCAAACATCTAGTTACAACAGTGGTCAAAGTACCGCTGCAAATATCTAGTTACAACAGTGGTAAAAGTACTGCTGCAAATATCTAGTTACAACTGTGACAGTGGTCAAAGTACTGCTGCACAACATATCTAGTTACAACAGTGGTCAAAGTACCGCTGCAAATATCTAGTTACAACAGTGGTCAAAGTACCGCTGCAAATATCTAGTTACAATAGTGACAGTGGTCAAAGTGCTGCTGCACACATCTAGTTAAAGCAGTGGTCAAAGTGCTGCTGCAAATATCTAGTTACAACAGTGGTCAAAGTTCTGCTGCAAATATCTAGTTACAACAGTGGTCAAAGTACTGCTGCACAACATATCTAGTTACAACAGTGGTCAAATTACTGCTGCACAACATATCTAGTTACAACAGTGGT